CCTATGCCGAGAGCAATCAGGTCCACGGTGGAGAGGCAGCGGGCCAGCTGCGTTTCCTGCGAGCCCAGGTCCACGGTCCGCTGACGGATCAGCTTCTTGCCAAAGTTGGCCAAGGTTCTCTTCAGCATCCTGGCGAGTGGAGTGCACGTCCCGTTGCCCGAAAGGACCTGGCGGAGGAAACAGTAGAGCCTGTCAGCCAGCAGGGGGCAGGAAGGCCTGCAGTCACAGGAAATCAAGATGGGAGGCTTGTGCAGACCCAACCCAGCCTTTTTTTTGGGGGGGGGGGGGGGCTGGGCTGGGCTGCTGCCCCGAGCTTCCCTTCCTCCTTTCAGGGTCAACTCTGTTTGTGGGCATCTCCTGCTTGGCTGAAAAGCCTCCTTGCTCCATCCCCAGGTGGATTCCACAGGAATCCCACTCGGGCCATAATGGCGAGAAAGTCCAGTCCAGGCTCCCAAAGATCACTCTGGAAGGGATGCTTTTGGAGGAGGAGCGGAGATCCAAGGTGCCCGGCTGCCCCGTCCACCTATCTGGCAACCGTAAAGGAACCAGGGCTTCAGGCTACGCTTGGAAAGCCGAGAGAGTACCAGGAACAAGACCGCCATCTTAGGAAAAAGCCGTCCAGCCAAAGCAGCCAAAGTCGCCAGTTGTGGTTACACATTACACTTCTATGCATCACTGGCCCCTGCAGAAGTTGGCAAAGAAAAACAGCCCTCAGAGGACAACTTGGATTAATTGCGTTTACACAAGCTGCTCGCTGGAATAATAAGCATCAGGGAGGCACCTTCAGTCATTAACCAACTGAACTTCAGTTAACAGGCGACAGAACAAACTTCAGCTGCTAAGCCAGGCTGGGAGAGACCCTCAAGCGCATCATCAGGGCCAGCATGTGACTCGCATGGCAAGATGAGGCTTCAGGGTGGAATTATGCGGAACGAGCCTCTCCCCCCCCCCCCCCCGATTTTGCCTCGTTTTCCTCCACCTCCTCGCGTTGCCCGGCGCTGGTCCCTCTCGCCAGCAAGGCGGTGGCTCCTGCCATTCAACAGGCTGCGTCCTGGGTCTGGCGTGATTTGGGCTTCGTAAATTCTGGGAACTCAACCACAATGCTTTGTAAACCACGATTTATAACTTAGCCCCATTTGCAAACCTGGCTCAGTCTTTACTCATTAATCAGAGAAAAGCTTGGCACCTACACCTGTGAGGAAAGGGGGGGGGAGGGGGCGGCCATGAAGAAAGAAGAGGATGGCTTTTGCACCCAGGACCAGTCCAGGAACAGTCTCTCCCTCTGGGTTTGAATGCCAAGCAGGGAATTCGGCTTTCCTAGAGTGGCACAGACATGGCACCTTTGCTCGGAGAGGCACCTGGTCCGTTTGGGGCAGTCGGTTGGGGCAAGGGAGGAAGGGCCTGTGGCTCTCCGTCTTTGGCTGTGCTTCCGATCGATGCGGGGCCTGGCCCATCATCCATCAGCTGACGGATGGCTCTGTCCAGAGGCAGCGGCTCTTTCCTCTCTCCTGAACGACAATCAGGGGAGATGAATGGCCTTCATCTCTTTCCTCTGGGGGCGGGGGAGACCATTCCAGGTGTCCTGCAGGAGCTGAGAAATAAGGGACCACGCTTGGACGAGCAGAAGAGCCAAGCCGGATCTCTTAAGTGAGCAAAACGGAGGAAAACAAAAATCAGATAAGCAAGATCCGGAAAAACAGCAGCAATTCAAAGACGCAGAATCCCGGTTTCAAAATCAAATATTGCAGAGCCTGACCTGAACTAATTGAATTTATCCCTGGTGAGATTCCTCTCCTTTCTTGGCCCCTGAAGAAGGAGAAGGAGAAGAGAGGCGGGAGCTCCCTCGGTTGGTGCCTGTCGCATGCATCTAACCCCCCCCCCCCCACCGGCCCTCATCCCCCCCGTCAGCCTGGCCCCCTTCACCCCAGGCCTGACACGCAGCTGCTCTCTGCCATTCGGGGGGGGGGGGGGGGGGCAGTTAACTTCATCAGGATCCCTGGGGAGATGGGTGGGTCTTCCGGGGTCTCCAAGGGTTGCATGGCTCAGATATACTCCTTAGAGATCTCAGGTTTTTCCCTTACATCTCAGAGTTTGGAAGCTATAAGGATCTGTGATCTCGCAACAGGTTCCTTCTAAGACGGAAAACAAGGCCGCCGCAGCGGATCTGCTCAGCCGGCTGTTCTGCAGCCCAGTGGAAGACAACGGAAAGACCTCCCAGCAGAGAAACTGGACCAAGTGCCAGGTTCCGCTCTGGGCCAGCAAAACTCCGGAGCCTTGGCCCCCGGCTGGCACCGACCACAGTTCCCACGAGGCACAGCGCCCAAACTGCCTTGGCCAGAGGTTCCCATGAACGCAGGGAGACAAGCCCCCTCAGCCCCCCCTCCGAGGCTATGGGTGGGGGAGGGGAAGCATTCCCACCACCTGGCCAGTCAAGCCTGGCGTGACCTCCTGGGATCACACACTCCGACGCACCAGAAAATCCCTACAAAAAGGCAGCAGACAAAGCTTTGATACGCTTCCTTTCCCAGTCAGCACTTCCAGGCTGTTTGTCAGGCAGGGCAAAAGCCCAGCTGCGTCGGTTCATTTATCCTGTCACGGATCTGCTGTCAGGAGTGACGGAGCACAACTGAGCATCGAAACCTGCCCGCCTGCCAAATCTGGTGCCCTCGGAAAGGTTGCCGGCCAGTTTCATGATGCTTCTGCTCCTGTGGCCATTGCCCACTTGGGGGGAGGGGCTGAAAAGGCATCTGGCATGGAGCGGGCGGGCTCGGATGCCCCAGACGAGGGGACCTGCCAAACTCCCTGGCCAGGCCTAGAGCTCCAGGCACTCCAGATCAAAGTGGAGGAGGGGGCTTGGTTTTTCCGGATGGAGGCTGCAAGCCAGGAGAACTGGCTGGTTATTGGAGTCCAGGTGAGATTCCTTGCCATCACGGATGAGCCAAGGCCGAACCAGTTACGCGGCTCATCAGAATGAGTGCAAAGCTTCCAGTCTGACTCCCGTCAGCTGGGAGACGGATCCCCAAGAGGGGTGCCAGGGACCGGCAGCCCAAAATACAGGACAGGCAGCCCAACGCCTCACTATTTGGCTAGCAAGGGAGGGCTGGAGCAGCAGAGGAGGGGTCTCCCTTGGCCTGCCCTTGCGGGGCTGCCTCCAGGGCTTATACAGGGATGGGGGTGGGTGGGGGGCAGGATACTAATTGCAGTCTACCCAAATCGGGGGGGGGGAGCTCCAAAAGGAGAGGGGTCTGAACCTTACAGGGCTGCCCACCTCCTCCCTCCAAGGTCCTTACCTGCCTCACCTCCCTGACCGCCCAGTTTGCAAAGCACCTGCACAAGGGCCGCCACCGCGCAAGAGCAGCCAAACTGCCATTCGAGCGGGAAGCAGCCGAGCCTCGGAAGCATCAGCCCAGCCTATTAATAGCCAACAGGGAGGCAGAAGGTCAAGGGTTTGCAGCCATGGCCGGGCAGAGAGGCCACCCCACTGCCCAGGCAGAAGCAGCAGCCGCCCTGTAGCCAAGGTTACCGCTGGGAAGGGGGAGCCCAAGGCAAGCAGGCACTGACAGGGTGCCGAAGCGCCCATGGCTGCCTCCCCCGCCCCTGCCCAGCAGCTCTCGAGGCGGAGAAGACGACGTCCTGGGCCGCTGGGAAGGGAAGGGAAGGGCCCGGCCGGCTGACTCCTCCCAGGCCGAGCTGTGCATGCAGGAAAGGCAGAGGGTGCTTCAGGGTCTTGGCCGTCGTGAGACATGTTCATTCCCGGCCCCTCCGAGAGCAGGAGGCCCTGTCCCCACTCAGTGGCCCGGGAGCCGGGCGTCCTGCCCTGGGATCCCCCACTGAGAAAGCCTCCCTCGGGTTTCATTGCTAGAGTCCCACTGAGCCAGAAAACGAGGGGAGCCCAGCCAGCCCCTAAAGCAACCCAGGGAGCGCAGAGTCCGGCATCTGCAGAACCAGCCGGGTCAGGCCACAGATCCACCCTCGGTGCCAACGCCGGGTCCGCAGGCGCCCAACTGGCACGTTTGGGAAGCCCCCTGCCCCACTGTCCATCTCCCAGCAACCAGCATTTCAGGCATGCTGCACCTGGCTCCTCACTGGTTCTTCTTGCGGCAGCCTTTGGTCGGGGGCTTTCCCTAAGTCTGGAAGCCCCCCCCCAACTGAAGCCGCCCCCAGCAAAGCCAAGCTGGAGGAATTAAGGCAGACGCAGGCCAGCTGGGAGTCTGAAGAAGGGGAAATAGAGGCTGGCAGCCCAGGAAGAAGAGGCTTCCGGTTTACCAGAACTCCTGATTTCCAAGGCCTGGCAAGGCAGGAGGGGCTGCACTCAGAGCTTTCCCCCCCTTTGCGCCCCCCCCCTTCCTTGTTTTCTAAAGGTGGATCAAGGCAAAAGGGGCTTCGGCATGCTGAGAAATCACTTTGCGCAGGGCCTGCCCTGCCTCTCTTGCGTTTAGCACATTCCCAGGTGCAGGAAAGGCTGCCTTTTCTTTGTAGGAGGTTTTGAGTTTTTCCATTTCTCTCTTCCTTAAATTAGCGAAGAGGAAAACAGCCCCCCCCCCCCGTTCGCCCAGCCTGGCAGACGCCTGGAAGGGCTCTGACAGCTGCCAACGCATTAAGAGTCCCAACAGGGAAATGTGGACACGGGAGGTGGCTCTTTATGCCTTCCTGCTCACCGGCCGTAACTTATTAGAAAATGATGCGTATTTTGGGGGGAACGGGGGGGGGATGGAAGCACTTGCGAGAGGAAAAGCAGCGCCGGAGTGCGACTGTTTTGAGTGCAGCTGGTGGCGCAGTTCACGCTCTCCGACTCAGACAATCTCCCAGGTCCGAGAGGGCCACAGGGAGCAGCCCCAAGCTTTCCTGAAGCAGGGAATGTGCCACCGCGTGACTGGCCCACCCTCAGTGGCCATTCCTCCTCCTCCTCCAGGCCAAGGGCCTCTTCTCCCTCTTCCCTTCTGAAGCAGCTAAAAGCACCCCTGCTCTCTCCTCCCCAACCCCCCCCAACCCCCCAGCACCAATCCGTGGCATGCCAGCCGTGCAAACAAGCGAAGCCATGAGATGCAGGCAGCCTGCGAAACCAGACCTTTCTCCACGGAACCGTCCCCTGGTGCCCACAAGGTTAGTGGGTGTGCTGCTCTATGGGACAGCCTTCACCCCTAATCCCGTCCTCTCTCCCAAGCAGCCCCTGGCTTTCTTTCCCCCGGCCCTTTCCAAAGGGGTGGCTAAATATCCCCCAGGCTCCTTCCTCTCCGTGGGGCTGGCTAGGAACGTGCTGATGAGCCACTCCGTGCCCATGTGACAGACGGGGGCATCACCCTGCCAATTCAGACCTGCCAGTTCTGGCAGAAAAGGGCTGCCCGGCGGCTGCTTCAGCGGCAGCTTCTTGGCAAGCAGAGGCTGCAAAGCGGGACATCAGCCCCTGAGCTTGAACCGGCCAAAGGTCTCGAGAGAGACAGATGGCCAGCAGAAGCTGCATCACGGGTTGCATCAGCCAGCCGGGGAAGAGGCTGCCTGGCCGGCCTCCTCTCTGCCCCCTAATGGCTGTGCATGCAGTTGCCCAACCGGGTCCCTCTCGATTCGACGAAGGGTTGCCCCCTAACCCCCGAGCCTGGCACGCTTGTCTAGAGCCCACCCAGGGAGGAAGACACCTGGCATGTCCACCCCCACCCCCCGCTGTCCGCAGCGCAGCCAGGACCCAGAGGAAAGGGTAACCAGAAGGATAACCCCAAGGTGGGCCAGAAGGTGATTCTCCGGAGGTGAGATCCCTTGACCAGGTTCTCCTGGGTGCCCACAATGGCACGCTTCAATGGCTTGGCAGGCACAGGGTAAGAAACCAGCCAAACCAGTTTGTCAAACAAGCTATGGGTAAGCAATCTATGGCTTAGTGTGACTTATGAAACCAGGAAGATCCTGGTTCCTTGCACTGTCTGGGTGCCATGGTGGTGATCTGATGGTTAGTCTTGTTTTATGTAACTGTTCTGGGGTCCTTCCGAGGCTGCCAGAATTCAGGGACAGGAACAGCAAATATATCAAGATCCTACCTGGGAAAGGACAAGGCTAGGCTGGTGCTCCATCTCAGCCAGACCAGGATCCAAGCCTGAATAGTTCAGGGTTCTTGCAGAACGAAAGAGAGCAGACCCCACCCCCCATGGCAAGCTTTACACTATAAATGCCCCTCCACCTAGTTCTCTTTGGCTCCCACGCCTGTAGCCAAGCCGTATCACTGACCCTCTTGGTGCCCCCTTTTCCCAGCAATCACCTGCACCCGGCATGGCCTGGGACCACCACGAATGCAGAAACCCAGAAGAGTCTCTCACGGGAACCGCTTCTCGTGTCTCTGCAGCGGCTCCGAGCCCTTCCCAAGCCCAGGTCTGTGAAGCCCAACCTGCCAGGCAGCACTAATGAAGTCAGCTGTGCCAAGGGATGGGGCCTGGGGCCTCCTGGTCCCCCTTTCCCTGCAAAGGAGCATCCTGCCCTCAGCTCCCTTTTCGTCTCCAGCAATCAGCACCTGGCAAACGAGGCACTAACATTCCGCGCAGGAACACACCTGTTTGCATTCAGCCAGGCAGAAACCTACATGCTGTTTCCAGAGCGGTTCTTGGCCAGGCCCAAAGGCTAGAAGGGCCTGGCCCATCTGAAGGGGGCATTTGTGTGAACGTGCCCGGCCCGATTCCCTGCCAATTCTTGGCGCTGGGCTCTGAAAGGGGAGCCGTGCCCAGAAGGCCCTTCCAGGTCGAAGGCCCCAAGGAGAAGGTGGCTCTTTTCGGGACCAGAAGCGGAGATGTAAGGCAGGCAACCCCTGCAGCGACGTTGCTGGCCCGGCCTGCGGGGGCTCCCTGCAGGTGCCCTTCGGCCCCCTAACAGGGTCTCCCTTCCCCCTTTTGGTCCCTGCCCGAATCCCCGGGAGAGCAAGGCAGACCGGACGCCCAGCAGCCGACTCTCGCCGGCAGGACTGGAGTCCGAGAGGGGGGCCGCTCCTCCCGCCCTTGGCCCCCGCCCGCAGCAGCCGGGAAAGGCTCGGAAGGAGGAGGAGAGGCAGGGAGCCGCCAGCCTTTCCCGCAGCGGGACTTTCTCGGGGCTCTGGGAAAAGCAGCCGGACGCTACCAGGCTCGGAGTTTCCCGCCGGGACTGAGCCGGCGGGGGCAGCCCAGCTGGGAAGCGGCGGCGCAGGGCCGCAGGCCAGGCTGAACTCCCCGCCCCGCCTGCCCGGGGGCTTCCCTCGCGGGCTGCCAGGAAAGTCCCCGCCGGGAGGTCCCGAGGAGCCCCGGGCTGGGACGCGCCTTCCCTTCCACGCAGGAGAAGCCAGAAACTTTGCCGGGACGGAGCAAGACGGGGAAAGACTCGGAGCCGCCTCCCCGCAACGGGGCTCCCTGGCTGGCACCGGGCTGCTGGGAGCCGGGCGGGGGGCGCGCGGGCAGGCGAAGCGGCACCTGTTGACCCTCCGCCGGCAGCGCTGACGCAACCCGGAGCTCGGCTTGCAACCAGGCGCCCGCCGGACGGGGCGCGCGAAGGGAAGGCTCCCGAAGCCCGCCCGCCCGCCCGGCCCGGCCCGCCTCCGCCGCCTCTCACCAGCCGCGGCCGCGCAGCTCCTCGGCAGCCGGCGAAGAAGGGAGGAAGGGAGGCGGCGGCGACGGTGTGCGGGATATCTAAGGCGGGCGAGGGGCGGGCCGAGCGCCAGCGACCGCCTCCTCCAGGCGGGCTCCCCCGGGCCGCGGGCTGGAGGGGGGCGAGGCTCCCCGCTGGAAGCGCCTCCCGCCTGGGCGCTCGGAGCTCTTGTCGCACGGGAGCCGGGCAGCGGCCCTCCGTCTTCGAACCTGGGATCTGCGTGGCAGAGGCGGGCGGAGGAGCGGCGCTCCGGTCGTTGGGCTCCAGCCGGGGAGGGAAGGCAGACAGGCGGCTTCTCAAAAACGGGGATTGCGAAGTCCGGACCGCCCCTTCGAACGCCACTCCGGGGGATCTGCCGGCCCTTTAGCCCGGGTTTCCCTCCTGAAGTGTCCCTCCTCCTTGGTCCTGCCGTGCCATTGAAACCATGGACCAGCCGAGCAAGGAAGGGGGCTTGCCCGGGAGGGAGGGAGGGAGGGAGCGCGTCCCCGGAACACCCCGAAGGCAGAGAACGCGGAGCGCCAGGCCCGGGGCCCGCTTGTCCCGGGGGAGCTGCTGCTGCTGCTGCTCCTCCTCAAAGCCAGGCGCCCAGCCCAGCCCGTCGCCTGGAGACGACCCCAAGCCCTGGAACCAGAGGCTGTCTGCCGTTGACCTCACCCCCGTCCGAAGAGGCCTGTAGGGGGCGGGCAGAAGCGCCCCTGTCCGACTCTGTCTCTTTTATTCCTATCCATGTCATGTGTTCATAACCATGTTCACACTTATACCTGTTTTCGAATACTTGCTTGACAAATCAAATCAATACAAATAGATTGCCATGCCTTGTTATAGCGCCTCCTGCTGGCCAGACCTTGAATCTACAAAAACATTTCCCTCCAAAATCACCCTCACAAATTCAAGGCCCAGCCAGTCTTCCTGGGTGCAGACTTCAGCATGTATACACTACAGCAGGGCCCCCTTCCTGGCATGCCTTTTCCTTCCCCCTAAGTCTCTGCAAGCCCTCCGAGCCCACTGCCCTGGGCTGCTGCTCGTTTGAGAAGCTGCAGTCAGCCGCATCCAGACAAAACCAGAGAGAAAAGGCCTGCCGGAGACATTGGGTTCTGTGGGTTGCCGTGGGCATCCTCGGGTGCGCCGTTTCCTACCCCAAGCCACACTACTTATGCCTCTACACAGGTCTGCCTGAGAAGGTAACAGTACATCCAAGAAAGAAGTCTCTTCAGACCAATTACACTTTTATTCCAGTCTTATTTGTCCCCTTAAACATTAAGGGCAGTTTATACACCTCAGAACATTACAACCACTGTGACAGCATACAGGAAAAGTGGAAAGAAACAAGAAATGGCTTTTTGAGCTTCCAATTTCTTTCCACCCCTTGTTTCCCCCTTGGGCCATATCCCGTCAGGCCAGGATAAGTATAAAAAGAGTGGCAGGTGAGGAAAACTACACCTTGCCAAAAAAAAAGAGAGAGCCAGCCCTTCCTCCCTCCCTTCTATCCAGCTGTCCAAGGAGATATGAGCTGTGCTTAGTTCTCCTCCCTGCCTTCCATCCAAATTATTAAAATTCCCCTCTACTGTTTCAGCAACTCTTCCTGGAAAAGCTTGCCAAAGCCGCCTCTTCCTTCATCGTAGTCCTTTCGGTACTCGTCTCTTACCTGGAGAGTGAGAAAAAAACAAACCAAGATAAAATCCAGCTGACCCCAGATACTGAACTGCCTGCATCCCAGACTTGATCAAATAGGAGCTACCCTCAATTCTGGACGGGGGCTGTGAAAGCCAGCCCTGGAAGGTCACTCGGGAAGAAGCTTGCAAAGCACATTCTGAAAGCAGCCCAGCCTGGAAGCAGCTCGCAACTGGCAGGTTTTCCTTTCCCGCGCTCTCTCTATAGCCCTGATGCAGCCTCCCTTGGCTTGTGTAACTCAAGGACTTTACATGGAAAACAAGGCAGAGCTCAGGTATGGATGAAGCCTCCGTCCTTGTAAGCCAGGGAGTTATACAACAATTGAAAGGGCAACCTTTCCCAAAGAAAAGGGGACGGACAATCTCCCATAAAGGGTAGATGTAGGAATTTGGGGAGTTATGTCACCCCAACAGCCCCAGAGTCCACCAGGTATGGGAAGGCTACACAGTATAGATGTAACATCCAAAGGTACATGTTCCTGCCCTTGGATGACTCGATCTCCGAGGGCTATGGGATCTCTGCTGGCAGAACTTATAAACTTCAGTGCTTCTGGGATCTAGCCCCACAGCTCAGCATGGTCTCCAGAGGAAGGGGACCCTTGGTGAAGTGGGGCCTTCGAGGCACAGTCCCCTCCCAGCTACCCTTCTTTACCTGCCCGCCTGACTTGCCACGGCCATACTGCCGGCCTTCCCTGAATCCTATATCCCAGTCTGTCCGGATAACACGGTCATCCAGCCGGGTTCCGTTGATGAAGCGCATGGCGTGCTCAGCTTCAGCTTTTGTGTAGTATCTGGAGGATTATTTTAGGAAAGATTCGCAGGATCTGGCTCCAAGTCACAGAGTGCAACCTGCTTCCCTCAGAGAACAGCAACCAGGCCAGAAACGGCTGGTGCAAAACAAGCTTCCCAGCCCTGCAGTCAGGAACTACAAGCCCCATGAACTCTTGCCCAGCACATTCTGCAACAATACCACGGAGCAAAATTTGAAAGGTTCCCTTGGCATGAAGAGGTGCTGCGGGGCAGAAGCCAACCGAGCCGTCCGGAAGAGCAGCCCATTTCTGGGTGCAGCTGCCATGAATGGGCCGAAGCCATCTTAATTCCAATTCAGAATAGAGCTGGGATGGACCTCGGAGGTCTTCTAGTCCAGCCCCCTGCTCAAGCAGGAGACCCTAGAGCATTCCAGACAGGTGGCTGTCCAGTCTCTTCTTAAAAGGCTGCAGTGCTGGGACACCCACAGCTGCTGGTGGCAGAATGGTCCTCTCCGATGGGAAGTTCCTCCTTCGTTCCAGGCTGCTCCTCTCTGTGATGAGTTTCCGTCCAGGTGTTTCTCCCCCACCCCTAGCAGCCCCCCTCCCTGCGCCTCTCTCTCCTCCGGACAGCGCCAGAGGTGAGCCGTGTCCCCCGAACTCCCCCCCCCCAAGCAGGCCAAGGATACTCCACGAAGCAGAACCCGCAGGGCGTCTTTTTGTTCTTGTCCAGGCCCATGATGATGCGCTTCACGTCTCCGCACTTGGAGAAGAGCTCCTGGATCTGCTCCTCCGTGGTGTAGAAGGAGAGGTTGCCCACGTAGAGGGTGGTGGTGCCCTTCAGCTCTTCCGCCTGCAGCTCCTTCCGCCCCTGCAAGGGTCCCCCAGCAAAGGACCCCCATCAGCCACCGCCAGCACCCACCCAGAGTGCAGAGGCCGGCTCAGCCAGGGGAGTTCTGGGAGTTGTAGTCCTCTACGCTTCTTAAAGCAGCTGAGGTGGAGCAACCCCCCCAAGGCGCCCAGGAAAGGGGGAGCTGGAACCCCCGGGGGGGGGGGCAGGCAAACACAGGCAGAAGAGGCAGAAGAGATGTTCTTAGTATTACTACTCTTATTTTATGAGGGTGGCGAGGAGGAGGATCTCCCCCTCCCTCCTGGACAAGCCCAAGCGCACCAGAATTGCTCTGGGTGCCGGGAAGGGGCTCCTGGGGCCAGAGTTGGTCTCCGGCCGGCCACGGGTTTCTGGGCATGTACAGAGCACCCGCGGGCTCCACCCAGCGAGTCCAGCGAGCGCTTCCCCCCCCCCAAACACACCCACCTTGTAGAACTGCTCCACGTATTCGCTGAGGTCGCAGTACGAGTCCCTGGTGAGCATCTTCAGGCTGGCGCCGAGTAACCCCGACATCTTAAACGGCGAGCCAGGCGGCCTCAGACTCGCCAACTCCGCCGAATGGCAATTGGCTCGAATGCCTGTCACTCAGAAGAGCGCTTCCCCTTCCCTAAGCCGCCTCATTGGCCGCCCTAGCGACTTTGCCGCTAGGGTTGCTGGGGATTGTAGTTTGGGCGGCGAGGCTCACGCAGGAAAGGCTCGGCCTCGAGATTCCCAGCATGCTTTGCGCAGAAGGCGGAGAGGAGGGCGGAGTGGCGACATTTGGCGGGAAAATTAGGCGGCCATTTTCTCGGCCCCTGGCAAGCGGTCTTGTGTCAGTCAGGGCTTTTTCTTTCGGGAGAAACCTTGATTTGAAAGGCTCCTTTTCGCTTCACCCAAGGTGCAGTGACACAAGCATGCCCGATCTAAATCCTTGGCGGAGTCTATAGGGCAGTGTTTCTCAACTCTGGCAGCCAGCTTTAACAAGAGCGGACTTCAACTCCCAAAATTCCCCAGCTGGGGCATTCTGGGAGTTGAAGTCCATTCTTAAAGTTGCCAAGATTGAAAAACACTGGTTAGAGTGGCCAAACATGAGGAAAAATTTGATTAAAGGGTGTGAACATTTCTAGGCACTTTATCTATGAGGATTAATCTGCAGCTCATGAAAACTCACACCTAATCGAATTGGCTAGTCAGGAAAGGTGATCCCGAGCCCCTTCTGATAAAAATGGTTATCAGACTCGTTCTTGGTTGTTTTTTTTAATGAACCTTGTAGCAAATACAATATAAAGCTTGTTCCCCAAATAAAAGTTCACTAATGAACTTCTATGAAAGTACATTCTTGCCTGGGTTTTAATTATTAGTGTATTTCTTCCCCTCAGGTCCCCTAATGGTCGCTTGGCTATTGGAAATTAAACCTTAAAATTGGGGCATTTCAGTAAGAAGGAGGCATTCTTACATGCTCAGGGGTCTTCCAGAGAAACAGGGCAGTGTAGGGTTTGCTCAAGACAGATTTGCTAAGTAGGCCGTGAAGAAGACAGTTTGGCTGGAACAAACAATGTAAAAGTCAAGTACTGTTTGGCTGGCCAGAAAAGGGCTGCAAGAGGGCAACCAATGGACATAGCTTTTCCTTCTTCATGGCCACCTGGGCATCCTCAAGCACCCCCAAAGAGCCTTTGCTGGGTCAGCAGAAAGCTGGTCCTCATTGCAGCAAAGACTGGAGGATGCTCAAAGCAGGAAAAGATATTGTGGGAAAGATATCAATTAAGATATAAACTAGAACAACTAAGATTGTTAAAAATTCTTTTCAAGGGCCTGTTATTCTACATAGCAGAAATGGAAGATGAAAGTGACAGTCTGGAAATAAGAGGTAACTTTTGCATAAAGGAATGAAATATTTAACTTTAGGGGTATTATCAACTGTTTTCTCTCTGCAGGTTCTTTCAAACCTGCTGTTCAAAAGATTTCTGGTTCTGCTCTGGCTTCTATCTAACAATTCAAGTCTGTAGGTCAGAACTGGAGTGTCTGTCAATACCATTATCCCACCCAGCCTTGTTAGCAGGCAGTGTGTTAAGGGATTGTTGTAGGATTATTTTGCAGGTGTAAACTTCCAAAAGGACAGCCCCTTGCAATCTTTTCCCAATGCTGCTGGGAAATTCAGGAGAAGGCCACTTACCTAACAGAAACCTGGCTGCTTGAGGAGATGGCATCACCTGCTTCAGGATCATGGGTGGGCTTGATCAGACTTGGGTAGGATGGCATCTATCCTTTCCTGACCATCACTGCCCATTGCACCGTATTTCCTCTTGACTCACTTCTGTCCAGGCGGCTTCTGATAAGAAGAGAAGGAAACTATACTGCAGTCTTTGCAGCAAGGGCAAGATGACCCCTGATACTGAATCCTAAAGAGAACATTTTAGGATTAAAATCCCATCAACTGACAACCTTGGGCTCTGGCATTTTATTTAGCTACTGGAACGAGAAATTTTAAGTTGCCTGAGTTGAAAACAATTTGCTGCCTCTTTTTATTCTGATGTTGTTATATCTTTCAGAGTTAATTCAAGAATTGATGAACCAAGAGACGTTGTTTGATATAGCAGACAGTATTGAGAAGCTGTTCAGCAAGATAGAAAATACACATAAAGAGAAGTGGAAAGAGAATCAGAAAGCCCAGGTAGAGAGAGAGAGAAAAAAAAGCAGTAATCATTAGAGGCAACAGGTTGAAAATTTAGGGAAGTAGCCCATCAAAAAAATCTGATTACACACATTTGGTGTGCTAATATTCAGTTCTTCCACATATCTCCAAAGGTATAGAAGAGCTTCTATGCATTAGCCCAAGCCTTTCTCTCAGCATAATTGAGCAGAGTGAAGAGAGACGGTCTAAAAAATCTCATTAAATTATATTTGTTGAATCATCTCAGACTAGCCAGTGAGTGGTCTACCAGCATCTGCCAGGCCATCTTCTGTCCATCTCTACTTTTTTTGCAAAGTGATCACTACTAGCTCCTCTTTCTGTTTTCCTACCTTTCCCTGGGATTCCAAATGTCCTATGATGAAGTTAAATAAACATTACATAGCTTTAATACTTTGGCTGTTTTGTTTCTATTTAAATGATTTTATGAATTTTAAGGGTTTTCAATTTTTATCCTTGTTTTTCTCCCCTACAGGTTGAAGAAAGTGCAGTTAACTTATGGAATTGGACTGTTGCAAAAAAATCAGCTCCTGGTATCACTGATATGCAAAGAGTTAAATGTCAGTTTGAATTCACAGCTATAAATCATAGCAAGAATATTTTGATTTACTAAAATGAGTAAAATGTTTTCTGTTTAGCTTCTTGCATAACCTCTCATGAACGTCCTTATTTTCTTGAAAATCTATAGATGTTTTCTACCTTTCTGTGCCCCATTATATCACAGTGTTTGCAATATAAGAATATTTTATTTCTAATGTGATCACTAAAGGGAGTCAGAGACAGAGGGGGTTTGCATTAGGGTTTGCTATACTTTTTTTTTCTGAAGTTGATGCTGGAGTGAATGAATCAGAACAAATGGAAATGGGGCACTGAGCACAGCATGTATCGCTCTCAAACGTATTTCCCTTCATACTGTTTATGCCTTTTGCATTTACTCCACATCACAAATATTTTTCTTATCCTCTATATTTTCACTGAACATTGAAACAGTTAATGTCTTTGCACATTTCTCTAGTACGCCATGTAGCCTGCAACTTGATGATGATTTGTGAAGTGAGTGATCCAAATGAGGAGATGATGCGAAGGCAAATTTTGGTAATATACTTTATGTCCACATATTATTTGTGTTTGTCTTCTGTTTCCTGAAATGCTAAAGAATTGATAAGGTTCAAGAACGTTGGAAGAATATTATTTTCTAATACATTTCAAATTTTTATTCTGTGTCCAAGAGAAATTGACAGTAGTTTTGGCTGGTTGCAAACCAAAGGTTTAAACAAACTGATAGCTGAGAAGTGATGTAGAAATAGGATAGCATGATGTATATTCTTACCTTAACAGATAATGTGAGGATGTTTATTATGCCTAAAGCAGCTACATTTAAAAGTCTTTAAAAGATTACATGAAATACCTATATCTAGTTGCTATATTTGCCAATTTCTGATTCCTTTTAAATCTGCCTTTATCTTTTATTATCTAGATGCTAATGAAGACTGGAAAAGGTTGGGTGGATGTTGGAAAACCTGCCATTGCAAATAAATTCCTTGACATTGCCCTGCATGTAAGTCCAGTGTTTGTAAGTTTTTAGTAGGTGACATAATAATAGTGGTTGCATGTATTTTAACCTTATTGTGTGCTTTATTTTACAGGATCTAGAGAAACTTTATGACCAGTTGAACAAGGACTGCAGCAATGAGGCTGAGGCGAATATCCACAAAGCTGGCATACAGAAAGATATATTCAAAGTTCTGTCTTACCAGGCTGAATCTGTATGTTTGAAAAATAATTCAATTCATTGCAGCAGCATGATGGCAATAAGTGAATTTTATTCATATTGTTATTTTTCAGTAGCAATATTACACTAAATAGAATTCTGTAATTCTATATTCAATAAATATATTCTACAATTTGTTGGATTGCTGCCTCCCATATTGCTACTAAATCTGATATATCATTTTGTGAGAGTTTCTCTAATGCAAAATTGTATTAAATTTTTAAACATTTATTTAAAAGGAGCCCATGTGTCATCCAAGCAATTCATTAGCATATCATGTTGCTTTCTTAGGCAGTTGCTTTAGCAGATTTTCAGAAAGCAGTCACGTGTGTTCAGCGGTGTAAAGACATCCTGATAAGGCTGCCAAAAGAGGTCAGAGATTAGATCTTAAATGCTTTTTTATTCTGTTGTACTGCCCTGGTCCTTCAGAGCTATGAAAAAACAAACTTGGTTAATTCTTAGCTTTTTAAAACAGCAATTATGAAACTGACATAAATTAATCTAATTTAATTACAGGTTTGTTACCTTTCTTTCCTATGCTATAACTTTGGCATAGAAACATATGAATTCAAGATATATGAGCAGAGCTCCTTTTGGCTCAGGTAATTTGACTCTATTACTTTTGGCTTAGGTAATATTTTGATAAGCAATAAATAAAATGTCAAATTCTGCCCTGTGTATAGCCACTGGGATTCAAAACAAGCATTTATCTGATTCCATCTAATGATTTAAAGATTCTTCTAGCTGCAGAGGTAGTCAAGGCTAAGGTAATTTATAAATGCATTTGAAGGGCCCAGGTGGTTTGATGCAAAAAAAAAAAAAAAAAGTAGAAACTCTGGATGTTGCTTCTTTCAGAATTCTCTTAACTCTAGCTTTCTTTTTCTCAAATAAAGCAATCATCACTATTCAGTTATGTAAATCTGCAGATGTAATTTACTTATAATAAGGTGCCATTTAAACAGGGTTTGTACATATGATTTATTTCTGGATTAAAGAGAGAAAACTGTTGCAGTCTCTCCAAATGCCTGCATAACACATGCATGCTGGCTTTAAAATACAAATTAGAGTGATTATTTGCCCCCCAAAACCCCTGTTCTATCATGGATATTTGAAAGAGAAGACTGTTTTGTGAGCGTTAGTGCAGTGTATAATACAGAGATATGCCTGAAGACTTCTTATATCCTACCCCTCACCCCGGAGGAAAAAAACTTCATCTACTCTGTTCTGTTCCTTTCATAGCTTTACAGTAGAAGACCTCCGGTATAGTTTTTTAAGTGTTTAAGGCGCAGTATGTCAAATAATAACATTGCAAAATTAATACCCCACAATGCCAGGACATTTGGCATGTT